TTTTTCTGCTTTTAGTCTTAAATGTTTTAAGCAAAATAGAAAATTTCTGGCTGGTAATACCTATAATCTCAATGGTTATTTTAAAAACATAGCTTATTTATGTATTTTTAATAAAAATACACTTCAGTTATACCCATTGACCTCTCAGTACTTTCGAACAAACATATGCATTACTAGCAAACATATTTATAATGTGTTGTTTTGGAACATTGCTCTAGAAATCCGAGAGGTGTCCTGGGAAGGACAGCCTAGGTTACTGTCCGCAGAAAGTGTCCAGAGGACTTGGAACAAATCTGACAAAATCGAGGATACTTCTGAAGAAGTGAGAAAAGTGAGAAAAATGCACAAAGTGCCCGGGATAGGTTTAGTTACCATTACTGTAATTACCATCATTAAATGATACTTTCCAATGAGTGAGAAAGTGTTTTGGAGGCTATTGTTTCTACTGGGGCAAAGGTCACACTCTGACAACAGACAGATGTGTACAGAGAGCAAGTCAAAGAAGGTGAGTTTGGGGAATGACATATATTTATTTTACCGAATATCAACATTGATAACAGAAATATCTAACAGTAATTAAGAACCACTATACATCAGAAACTAAGCTAACATTATCTATAATATCTTATTTAATCATTATGAGATCAATTAATTCTTTCCATTTTACAGACAAGTGAGGGCAGCTATAGATATGGCAGTCAATTTCCCCAGGATTACCTACTAATAAATGGGAGAGCTGAGATTTAAATCCAGACAGCATTCTCAAGCTACAGCTTGTGCTCTTATCACCCCACTGCAGCATAAATGTGCATAGGAGAGAGGGGGCTGAGAGACAGAACTATATGAATACATAGGAAAAATTTTTTTTCTCACATCTATGTGGATAAACCTGCATAAATACTCATTATGCTATTAATGCTTCTAGCAAACGCCAGTCTCTATTTATGTGTATGTTATTACTAAATTTTTCAGTCAGTAATATATATTATTACTTGTATGTAACTCGATAATGGCTGCAACCACGTGGAGGGAACACAAGCTTTTGAAATGTCTTAGGCAGCCAACGTGGAGACTCCAAAGAGGGGATCCAGCGTCAGTTATTTTAAATGATTACTTTGAAAGAAGACGTTTAAAATGTTTGGGCTATAGTCCCTTTTCACTAAATTTCTGACAAAGGATCAAAACGTGCCACTTTTTCTGCAGTTGCCCCCTCCTCCCACTCACCTGCTCTTGTCTCTGGAGCACAGTGGGTGCTGCCTCTTTCTGACCGGAAGCCCTCCAGTGGCTTCTCCCGGCAAGTGCGTTGCTGTGACTTTCTCAGTAGGATCACCCGGCTGCCTCATTCCTCTTGCATGTCTCTAAGTCCTTGATGCTGCTGCGGTCTCTCCCCAGAGCACACCTTCCCTCTTCCTGTGTTCTCTTGATTTTGGTATATTGCTCCTTATTCTGTTTCCTTAGCGTCATAACCTCTGTTGCACTGTCATAGTGCTTTTTATTATTTTTACATATTTGCCTCCCTCAGTACACTGAGGCCTGGACGCTCAGATGCCCATGGCAGTTCGCAGTGAGAGTCAGTGCATGACAGGTGCCTTAGGAGTAACGATAGCAGCGACGGCAAGTGTCCAGGGATGCCGGGAGTGTATTTGCAGAGTTCATTAGAGGACCCTTGGTCTGAGAGAGCTTCAGTGCTTGGGTAATGCAACAGAAGATATTATATTGAGTTTTAAAAGAGTAAAGGAGTCAAGTTTGGCCAAGGGAATAGAAAATCTTACATGAAGGTCATTTCAAGGTCCTATTGCAACATGAAATTTATGAAAAGAAAAAAAATCAAAATTTTCTGGTGAGTAGTGGCATTAACATTTTATATTACAAGGAAAGGTAAGGCCAATTTAATAAACCATAAAATTGGCAAAGTTTCTGGAAACTCTGCAGAATTTAGTTACAATTTTTGTGCCAATGTTATCGATTCAAAAAGCTAATGTAGATGTTGAAATATCTGCAATATAATGAAAGGGCATGCTAAAATTTTTGCTACAGTAGCTTGTCATTAAACTTACGTTCAAGTAAAAATTCATAACCAGACCAGTGACCTCGTGTCTGCGCCCAGCCTTGGCTCTCCCCAGCACCCCCATCTTTTCTCCAGATTCCTGGCCCGTCCCCCCTCACCCTTGCTTCAGTCCACTCCTCTCTCTGAAAGGATACCCTTCCCCTCCACTTTTAGCATTAATCTACTCATCTTTCTGCCACTGTAGAAGAGTTACTCCCTAGAGAACATTTCCCTGGCGTTTCAATCTATTTTGATGTAACACCACATTCTTGTTTTTTATAATGGCATTTATAATGATCTATACTAACATAGTTACTTGTGTGGTTGTTATCTGCCATTGTCTCCCCACTTAAACATTGTGAGTTCGAGATGACTAAAAAGTACTTTGCAACCTGTTTATCATTGGATTATATTCACAAAAATATTATGTGTCCATTTTTTCTCCCTTCAGACAGAGTAGGAAAATAAACACAGAGACAGTTTATCATCCTTTCATCCTCCCAAGCATCTACTGGCAGCAGTGTCAGAGCTCAATTCTACAACACTGGAGTAACTTCCTGTCCTCAGCTCTCTTCCAGCAACCATAGGAATCACAGTGGGAAACAAGGAGAATACTTACTATTTTTAAAACACTTGCCAAAGCAGAGAATTTCATCGAATGAGTTGGGAGTTTAATGATGAAACATTTATAAACCTCCACATACAAAATGATTAAAGATATCAATGATTAACCTTCTGACAATTTTCAGTACACTCCATGTATCGCGTCATGAGCTGATTAATGACAGGGATGTGTTCTAAGAAGCGCCTCCCTGGTAGGCACTTCCGTCGTTGTGCGGACATCACTGAGTGCGCTCACACACACCTGGATGCCGTAGCCCACTACGTGCCCAGGCCGCATGGCGTGGCCTGCTGCTCCCAGCTACACTCCGGTGCAGCGTGTTCCTGCGCTGAATGTAGTAGGCAGCTGTAGCACAGTAGTAAGTATCTGAGTATCTAAACACTTCCAAACAGAAAAGGAACAGCAAAAATACAGTATGAAAGATAAAAAATGGTACATCTGTATAGACCACTTACCACGAATGGAGGCTACAGGGCTGGGAGTTGCTCTGGGTGAGTCAGGGGGTGAGTGGTGCGAGAATGCGAAGGCCTCGGACGTTCCTGCACGTGGCTTTAGACATTATAAACACTGGACACTTAGGATACGCTAAATTTATTTTAAAAATATTTTTCTTTCTTTAATAATGAAGTAACCTCCACTTACTATAAATTTTTCCTTTATAAACATGTTTTTTTTTAACTTTTTGATGCTTTTGTAATAACACTAGATTAAAACACAAACACATCGTACAGCTATACATTTTTGTTTTTTAATTTTTAAACTTTTTTTGTTAAAAATCAAGACACAAACACACATTATCCTAGTCCTACAAGGGTCAGGATCATCAGTGTCACTGTCTCCCACCTCCACATCTTGTCCCACGGGAAGGTTGTCAGGGGCAGTGACAGGCACGGAGCTGCCATCTCCTGTGATAACAGTGCCTTTTGAAGTACCTCCTGAAGGACCTGCCTGAGCTGTTCTGCAATTAACTGTTTTGTGGTTTTTTTTTTTTTTTTTGAGATAGAGTCTCACTTTGTCACCCAGGCTGGAGTGCAGTGGCATGATCATAGCTTACTGCAGCCTCAAATGCCTGGGCTCAAGCCATCCTCCTACCACAACCTCCTGAGTAGCTGGAACTATAGTCACAAACCCCCACGTCTGGCTAACTTTTTTTTTTTATTTTTGTTTACTTTTAGTAGAGACAGGCTCTCACTATGTGGCCCAGGCTGGTTTCTAACTCCTGGCCTCAAGCTATCCTCTCACCCCAACCTTAACTTTATTTTCTCTTAAGTGGAAGGGGTACACTATAAAATAACAATAAAAAATATAGTATAGTAAATACATAAACCAGTAACATAGTCATTTATTGTCATTGTCAAGTATTATATACTGTACATTATAATTGTATGTGCTACACTTTTTTATGACTGGCAGTGCAACAGTTGTGTTTACACCAGCATCAACACAAACACCTGAGTAATGCTTTTCGCTACAATGTTAGGATGGCTACAATGCCAAGAGGTGATAGATAATGTTCAGCTCCACTATAACCATATGGGACCACCATCGTATAAGCGGTCAGTCATTCACCAAAACATCCGTAGGTGGCACATGACTGCATTTCAAAGGCCATATCTGACATATTATATGGGGTTACCCTGTTTCATAAATTCTTAGCTGCATTTTTTTCTCATTTTAACATGTCTTAAATTGGAATACACATAAATTTGTGAACACTTGAGTTCACAAATGAATGAATGAAAATTTCTGGTAAGACCAAGAAATTGTCAGTGCCAAAATCTTTTTGACTCATTGAAATACAGTTACACAAGTAAGGTAAATGTGCTTTTTTGTAAAGCAATAGAATTGCTGTAGGCAAGTTAGATCCATAGAGAAGAATATTTTGATAATTCTTTGTTCCAGAAATCAACTCAATAAAAAGCTAGAATAAAGCTCTTTAAAATTTGCAAGCACATTCACAAGAATTATTTAATTTCAACATTGCGGCAGCTCTGTGGAGGAGAGGAGATTGTGCGTTACCCGTCGCACTGTATAAACTGAGTCTCACGTGTTCACTGCTTTGGTGGTTAGCTGCTAGGAAGACTTGAAGCCAGAAATCCTCACGTCCACTTCATGGACACGCTCCAGTGTGAACACAGAGCATAGTGTGCCCGTTACAGACTTTGAGGCTTGGAGTCTTGGTTGCTGAAACTATTTTTCATGAAGACTTAGTGATGTCGTAGAGTGCTATCCTTTTTACTGTGGTGTCCACACCTTGCTCCAGTCGGGAATGGCCATGTGAGCCATGTAAGGGGATGCGTGTCAGCCTTTGTAACTCCAGGTTTTCACCAGGACAGTGACCTGCTGGACCGGCGGAGACATTGTTTCACCGTGCAGTCCGAGTCGGGGGAGGACCTCTACTTCTCCGTGGAGCTGGACTGTGACCTCGCCCAGTGGGAAAGAGCCTTCCAAACAGCGACCTTTCTTGAAGTGGAGCGGATACAGGTGAGAGTCCGTGGGACTGTAGGATCTGTGACTCCCAAACATGCATGACCACTGCCCTCGAGTTTAATATAAATCCAAAGTGGTATAAAAATACAGTGCGGCGAGCCGTGACTTCCTTCTCAAATATGTTCAGTAATTACCCTTTGTTGTTAAACGACTAGTAATACAGCTCTGAATAACATTTTAATGTTTCTACAATTTGATTTTTCTAGGCTATTTCCTTCTACTCATCAAAAATATATTTCCAGTTTTAATTAGACACTGCTCTAATTTAAATCTAATATAGAAAATGCTCTGATTTTAATTAATTGTTTACAAGGTCATTTCCTGTTCTCCAAACATAACCAACCTAATTTCCAGCCTGTCATCTTCACTCACTCACAGTGCTCTTTCTCCGGGAAAGTCTTCCCTTTGTCTCCGCCCTTCAAAAGCACACACAGTGTTTGAAATTTTTCCAGAGGTCATATCACCCACAAACACGTTGTTCCTGATTTCCAGGCTGCCCTGCCCCCTGATTACCACGTCCCCTTTCACAACAATCCTCTTCAAACTCTTCCCACTTTGGAACACAGCGTCACCTTCTCGTCTGTTCTGCGGGACTGCTCACACTCACACTCACTCCGGTTTGCGCCAGCAGACACTCACTGAACTTTATTTCGTGAGTGTGAAGTCATATCTAGATCAGACTTCGTGGAGCCCTCAGCCTCTGTAACTCATGAGACCATGGAATCAAACAGACTCCCGCACTCAGTTCTGTGGCTGACCTCTAACGGCCCTGCAGGAAAACCAAAAGATTGCGATGAGCTTGCCACATGCAAATGGATTCGCAGAGGAAGGACTCAAGTGCATACATGGACACTTAATTTTGAAAACTACAAATCCGATGATAATATAACATTTGACTATAATGGAATGTTTGTCTATAATGGAAGATTTGGATGTAGCTTTTGTCAACATAGTGAACTGATTTTTTTCTGATTTCGAACCCCTATGGTCAGCACATCAAGGCGCGCCAGTGTGACGTTACAATCAGGGAAGAGAGAAGACTCAGGTTTCAATTGTTTCATTGCTCAGTTGACACTTTTTAATAACTCTGCTTTTGTCTTCATATATCTAAAAAAAGTTAAAGTAGTTGAAATATAGTTTTCATAATTTAGCTTATAGAAACTCAATTCAATAAAATAGATTAATATCAAAAATGGAAAGATGGAAAATGTCTTAAATATTGTTTTATCCCATGTCAACATCTAAGATCATTTTAAAGCAATAAAATATAACTTAATTGAATGATAGCTGACATATTTGTTATTTATATTGATACTTTTAGATTTTAATTATTGATTTTCTAGAATATTCCACTTCACATGGAAACAACTGCATGGCAGTTTCTATATTTTGGTCCCAATTTAAGATTCCATTTTAAGTCTCCTGATGTTTAGAAATGAGGTAGAGATAAAATTGTGTTTGTGCTCTGTGTTTTAATACTGTTCTTTGAATCTGGGCTTTGTATTGTCCAAGCTGATGTCCACCAGGATGCACTGGACTATCTCTTTACTTGTTCACAATGCCAACTTAAATACATGTTGGAAGTGAAAAGTAAAATATTTAATACCTTTTTAACTTTTAGTTCTACTGATTTTATAATTTTTCAATTTATATATCAGTAACCAATAGCTGAACACTTTTCAAAATTCAAGGATGTGAACATATTTACATGAAGAACCTTATGTGTTTTTCCTCTATATTTTCAATATTTTACTGCCATTAAAATTGGTAGAGAATTAAGAAAGGAACATAAGTTCTATTGTGAAATAAGCAGAAAGAAAATTAATGAATTGAACTTCAAAGTGTTTCTCATTAGAATTTCCCCAAAAAGGATAATTTTTACTTATTGCTTTTTTATATAGTTTCATTTTTATTAAACAGAAACTAAATAAATTTTTTCAATATTAAACATATATTAAGTACACATATGCTATGAAGATTATAAATTATAGAATTAAACTTCAGTGAGTCTCAATTTATAACATTTCAATTAATGTTTCAATTTAATGATTATTGAGAAAAATCTAATTTAATTAATTTGTAATGCTGAACTTAATGGAAAAATTTTAATGCACTGTACTGAATGTGTTTTCACCTGGCATTTTCTTTTTTAAATGCCAGTGTTTGAAAATAGCATAGAATTAAGTCTAAATTAGAAGGAAATTGTATAACTTGGAACATTCCTTAATGTCGATAAGAGTTTTAATAAAGTACTAATGAATGGATGCAAGCATACAAGATGTTCATGTATTAAACAAATATAATCAGTCTCCAAAATGGACTTTTTAGGTCCATTAAGTATGTTCTCTAGTCTGCTTTTTTGAAAATTTAAATCAAAATGGACATTTTGGCATTGTTATAATTTTCTTATGCAAATTAGGCTTAAACACATGAATATAGCTTTTTGGTGAAGGCAACTTGTATTTAGTCATGACTGCAGTCAGAATGTGATTCAAATAATGTATTTTTATATACAGTATTATAAAAATAGATACAATCTAAGGATAAGTATTGAAAATTTGCTTGAGATAGGTAAATCCCTCTCCCTTCTCTCTCTCATCTTGCATGTAAATCACAAGTGCTTTCATCATTTGAATATCTCACTAGTGTTTGAAATTAAATGCAAATAAAACTAGCCTATAGATATAACAATCTATCATGTATATAAGCCCCAAGTTTTTATTTCACATTTAATTTACATCCTGTTATTTTTATATTTCAGTATCCATATTTATTAGGCTTCCTAAAATGTTTATATAAGTAAAATTATAATCTGATCTCAGTGTGAAAAGTCATTAGTTGTTGATTTTTAAAGAATCAATAGTTTTATACAAATAAGTAGGCAAGTGGTAAATGTCTTTGGAAAATAGCTTGCGCCATGTGGAAGAACATCTAGACAATCTTAAGATCATGATATATTCTTTTGCCTCAGTTACTGATCTGTGTTTGTGTGCCTGTAGGTCTCTTTTAATAATATTCATGAAATCGATATGTTGAAAATTTAAGTAAGATATTAATCTCTAATAATAGTTTTCTTTTGGTTTAATGAAATATGGTGATATTTGGGTACAAGATGTAACGACTTAACGTAATCTTCCTTACACCTAGGCATTTTTATACCGGTTTCACTGTCAGTATAACAAAGAGAGACAGAGTGGCACAATGTAAAGACGAAGTTAGATGGAATAGGACTGGAAACTTGGCCCTGTGTACCCTTTGACAAGTTCAACAACGACAACAACAAAAACACTCTCAGCTTCTGTTTCATTAGCATTAAGATGTTGCTAATACTATCTTCTTTATATAATTATTGCTAACATTAAGTCAGATATTGTATGAAGTACTTACTGTGGAAGCTGTCACATAGTCATTGATGCTGCTATTGCGTAAATCGTTTGAAAAGTAACGGTCCTTTCTGTTCCGTCTAGTGCAAGACCTATGCGTGTGTGCTGGAGAGTCATCTAATGGGACTCACGATTGACTTCAGCACGGGATTCATCTGTTTTGATGCTGCGACAAAGGTAATGTGTTCAGGTTGGCTCTGAAAAGTATGCTGCAGACGTTCCAATTCAAGAACGATTGAGATACCTTCCAGCTCCGTCCAGCATTTTAATTGGTTTTCATGTATCTAATTTAAGATCCTCATTTTTGCTAATGGAAGATAAATTATTCTTTAATTGGCTTATAGAAAAAAAGTTTGAATTTTTAATAAAACAAATGTGATACAACAAAACGTTATAATGATATTAAAGTGAATCTGTATCTGTCTAGCTATCTAGCTATACCTCTTTTCCTAAAGGAATGGACTCATCATTGAGGGAGCATCTTCTCTCACAAAAACAATTTTTTAAAGTAGTCTTTTATGATGTTTCTGCATCAACATCTACAACATAAAATGAAGAAAACATTTTTTCAGTCCTTATAGCTGAAATGTTAGAATTACAGAAGGAATTTGGAAGTTTGAGATTCTAGCCAGGGAGTGTGACCCTGAGAAGCACGCGAGGTGATGAGGCCTGGGCACCGTCTGATAACGCGCCCTTTCCCCGAAGGGCGTGTGTCTGGCATGATGCACACGGAAGGAGGAGGGGCCCCCTCCAGCCAGTCACATCCAAAAAACCCAACTCTGGTGATTATGAAGTGACTACTGACAAGGCCAAGGCACTTCACATTATTATTTTTAATTGGAAGTGATATTAAAGCTCAACTGACCCCCATCCAACTGCTAATCTCCTTCCCGTCACTGCCGCAGTTTCTGACTCGGGGATCCGGTCTCATGGAAGACAGTCTCTTCCCCCTCATGAAGGCACCAATTCCTCAGATCAGCTCTACTTTCTGGCCTGTCAAAGTACAACCTGAGATCGAAATAAACTAGTTTGTTCCTTATCACTAATTTCGAGGATAAACAAGCAATTTCCTACGTGGACATACATTTTTATCTATAAATTAAGACTTATACAGGATTTTCTGAAGCAAATGCCAGCAAAATAAGACAGTGATACACATGGGTGAGGCAAGTGGAGACAGGAGACAGTGGCAGTGTTTCGATCTTGGAGGAGATGAGCATCGAATGGTGGGGTCCTGATGGCCAGAGCCACATCGGATACCATCCGGTGCTCAGATGCCTGTGATTCCACAAGATTCAACAATCAAGATTATCATGCACAATTTCTTATTACTTCAGGGTGACCAGTGCTTCATTTCATTTTAACATCGTGAAATTAAATAGTACACACATGCTGGTCAGATTTGGCTACTGGCAAATCAACTTTGCACGATGCCAAAAGACTACTTTGATAATTAAGAAATTTCAGATGACAGTGACTCTCGATTACTCTCAAATGAGACTGCCATAAACGTTTTCTATTACTAAAGACTTTCTTTGATTAAAATACTCATCAAGTCAGTATAAGCATGTGAGTATCAAATTAATTTAATAAGTTAAATTATTAATCAACTTAATGAATATTAAATTAATTTAATAAATAAATTTAGACATAAGTTAGACTGATTTCAATAAAAGTTGAAATATAATTTTGAAAAAGAAATATTATTGCCAGGATTGTCACCAAACTCTGTGGCATGAATGTGAAAGAGTCTCTCACTCGTAAGTGAGGGAAACAAACCAAATTCATCTGAACACCTTTCCAAGTACTTGAGTCTATTCTGAGTTTATTTTAAGGCTAGTATAATCCAAGTAAATGCTGGTGTACTGCTGGCTAAGGGAAAAATGGTGATACCAATGTCCTATCCAACATACCTATCTATCTCTGCCCTGAGTGTGTCAGGAATGAGTGAGTAGTCAAGGGAGTTTAAGGAAATGGTTATTGTGGAGGTGAGGGGAAATTTCCCTTTCCCAAAAAAGTTCAATGAAAGAGCAACTCACAATTAAGGCAGATTAATAAGAGAAAGAGGTTTATTTACTGTGCGCATGGGGAGAATCACAGCGTGATTACCCCATACCCCAGTGGGGTCCAGAAATTTTTATACTCTCCTTTTAGAGGACAGGAGGAGATGAGGAATGTAGGTAATTCTGTTTAGGGGCAATAAATGGTTGCTAAGGAGGATGAATGCATGGAGGAAACAGATTGACTTCTAAATGATTCTCTTTGCAAATGAAATTAACTGAAGAGACCAGTATTATTTTAAAATGGTTTGAGCCAGGTCTGGTTACATTCTTGATCTCCTTTCCTGCAACATATTGAGATAACAGGGAGTCGGGGGGAGTCAATTGTTCTTTTGATGATCTGTCTGGTTTATGCAGATAGAGGGGAAGCCCCTTCCAAGGCCTGTTGGTCTCTAAGGGCCTTTAATTCAAAATACTCTTTATACCAAGGGGTCATATTTCTGGGTGAAATTTCCTGAGCTCCTTCATTATGGTGCCATCTAGGGCAAACTATTTGGTTTGAACCGAGTTCAGTCAGTTTAAGCTTGATGCTCAGACAAGGGCTTCCAGGAGCAGCAATTGCTGTCCTTCTGTTTTCTGATTCTGTCATGAGGCGTCTAACTTCAAGGCAATCTGAGATTCAGGAGGGAGTGAAAGGAATCTATATACATACCCCCATGATATCCTGAAATAAATAAATAACAATAAAAAAGAAACTGCTAAAAAGAAGAGGGCTATAGTGTCCATCACCCAGACAGGACACTTGGAGAGCGAAAATGAGAGCTGCTGATAGTCACGTCGGGGCAGCAGGGCAGCAGCCATAAATGGAGAGCGTCCTGGGCAAACCACTGAGCCGCCTGACTGCAGGAAGCTTGCCCCACCTCACTTAATGAGCCTACAAGTTATTTTTAAATATAAAAAGGGATTGTTATGCATAAATTAAAACATGCCTTGTTCTAACACTTTATTAAAATAATTAAATACTATCTAGCTACTTTCACTAAGTGATATCCATGTAAAAAGCATCCTTAAGAATATACGTCCAGCAGAGTTTTAAAACGTTCGGATTCAGGAGGGTGATGACAGCCATACAACTCACACCCTTTAGCTGAGCACGCTTTGCCCTTCCGCTCTCCACCTCGATCACTTCCTACTACCTGGAAGTCGCTGTGGAAGCAGAGCAAAACCTTATGATAAAGTGTGGGCTCCAGGCAAGGGGGGACTCTATTCCGAGTCATTAACTGAGCCCCATGTAAAGCAGTTAATGCATCAGTGAAGGAGAGAGTTGCTTATTATAGTTTTAAAGCAATTATATTTTTAATTTCTCACAAAAAATTTAAAAATAAATAATAAATACAGAGAATAATGAAAGAGTAAACTGAGAGATGAGATCAGAGCCTCTTATAGTAGGGATGAGAGTCAGCATGGTTTTAGATTATGCTAGAACGCTAAAGGTTTGGAGACAGAGAGGGGTGTCTGAGAAGGTTGAAATAATTCTCATTACTTACCACGGGTGCTTGAAAGTTCCCAGGGAAAACTATTTCTCTTGATTTTCTGGAAAGTATAAAATACACTAAATAGCACTTTAGTCCATATACTTCAGTTTACATTAGCAACATATCTAGAAGTTGTACATTCTTTGGTTTCCCTTAGTGTTGCTGAGGGATTTCCTCACAAGAGTTTATTGCCATACAGTTCAGCTTCTTCTTTGCAATCCTCATCCTCATTAAAAAGTAGCCTTTTCAGTGTTAGAGAAGATTATTCTTAGTATTGTGTCAAAATATAATGTGTAGTAATCAAATAATTTGCATAGTTAAAAGCATAGTTTCCTTGCCAGTATATTATTTTACGTGTGTATATTAATATTTAGTAATAGATTTCCTGTGTAAACAGAGACCTCAGCAGTTATATCTACAAAACATTCATTCGGTTTGTATATAAATATTCACCGAATACCTGCTGACTATGGAGAGACCTAGGAGGGGGCATATATGTCAGTCTTGGGTGCTCAAGGAAGACTTCATAGAAGTTACCTTTGAGACAGGGAGGATACAGTTATTCGGACAAATATCTGTAAGTGAGAAAGGACATAAAATTTGAGAGTTAGGAGATGAGAGATCAAGTCTGTGGGTAACTAGGAGGCTGATTGTGAAAGAGTTCCTCTTAAGGAATTTGGGTGTGATCCTAAAAACCTTTGAAGTGTTTGAGAGGTAGGAAAGAAATGATCAGATGTGTGTTTGACAGTGCAAAACTAGTAGAATAATATATGGTTGAGATTGAGAGAGCCTGGACAAAATTCACATTATAAATTCCCCAAGTCTGTCCTCCACTGGGCATCTACCTTTCTATGATGCTCCTGAGAAAATGCTATGCGTGGGTGGCAAATCCAAAGGAAAACATTGTTTAAAATGAGGGTGAACAAATGATCACAGTGTATCCACGGAATTAAGAGTTGTTCAGTGTGAGGGAAACTTAAAGTTCAAGGAGGTGGATCAGGAGAGACAAAGCTGGAGAAATAAATTGGGCCACATGATCAAGGTCCAGTGTGTGGTTGACATAAATCTAAGTTCTACCGTGGAAGGATCACTGTGGCAGAGGTACAGATTACATTGATGGGGCAGGGGCAAGACTGAGTTAATGCACAGTTGTGTTTTCTCTGGATGTCTTATAAGAATAACTTTCAAACTTTTTTAAACCATGAAATCCTGTAAAAAACAAAAGGGGGTTGCTTTTCATCTGTACCAAACAGATAACACTGGAGCTCCCATGGTTATAATGAGGATGAAGGCATCTGGAATCCCACACCTGAAACCTTCCACTCACTCCTCACCCTGTTGCAGTCCGGGAATCACAGGGCTACACTGGCTGTAACCGGAACACTAGGATAGTCCTACTCTGTAATTGTCCATTGTGGAGATGGAACTTCGTAAATCTTGGCTCTTAAACCTGAGTAAAACCAAAAGAAAGTATTACTCATATCATTGCAGATCTATGACAATGATAACTATGAAGTAAAATAGTGACATAAGAATTAGCTCTAACACATTAGAAGGTATTATAATGATTTTATGTTTTCTTCTCATCTCCAGTACTAACTTTCATTGAGTATAAATTGAAAGCATTATTATGGGGCAAATT